AGACCATCGAGTGGAACATCGAATGGCATTTGATAAGTCGGGTGTCCGAGGTTATCATGGAGATTATATGATGAGAAGCTTGGAGCATGTGTGGACATTTCTGGATGTAGTTGAAAATAATAGCAGAGCACCGACTGCAACGGAAACATGCTGCTGTGTTCCACTTGGGAAGCAAGAAACGAGGTATAATGATTACTGCAGATTATCACTGTCTTACTTTGTTCGTCGTTAAAATAATAATTATTATTTGGAAATCACTATTAAATTACTTACACTTGCAAGCTTCTTCTGCACTTCTCATGCAGTTTTATTCTGTCTTCTTCTCTCTCCACAGGGACTGCTCTGGATCACTTCACTGAGACAGTTCCATCATCCTTTAGATTAGTGATACGCAAATGCAGCACTGAAACCACTGGAATTACACTTCGGAGATATTTAAAACATGGTTGGCACATCTGAATGGAAACAACCTTCATCAAGGAGTCGGTTAATCAATCCGAATCTGTGGCCATGTAACTGCCAACATCACAATATGACGTGTGCTTAACACCACAAGAACCAGTAATGCCCGTTGACATTGAAGCCTTTGTGTTTTATCTTAGCAATAATGATCTTAGAGAACCACTTAAGTCCTGATAACCCAAACAGTTGAGACTAGCAAGTGAAATTTACAAGCGTTAGGTAAAATATGGATTCAATATGTGACATAGCCCATTATGTTGGAACCTATTCGACTGAAGGTCAGTTTCGTCAAGCGTCATGTTATTCATATTCTTTTCGACATCTTTGTTTATTTCAAACAATACTGATCCCAATTTCTTAGTGAGAATTACTATCACGATTACAAACAATTATTGGTAGGGTCACACGTTGATGCTTGCATAAATGACTTGTTTCTTTTCAAGAATTAAAATTATTACTATTTTAAACCAACAGGAGTTACTCATTTCTCAGATTTCATCAACCTATTGTATCTACATGGGAAAGAGCGTATGACTCTCAGGAGTTGTGAGAGTGGGTCTCTAACACTGTGTTTGTGAAATCCTAACTTCAGCTGAAACACAACTCGCTGTGTCAGTGTATCGTTCGGTTGGATACGAGCACGTTTTGCAGTCTGGTTACGAAATGATAATTTAAAAAATTAGTATTACAAGAGACACAATAAACAAGACTCAGTATATGAATGATAGTTATTTATCCGCTTATCATTTATAATAATGGCTATGAAGATAATACAGTCATTGCTATGGAATGGGAGCGATGTCCTCCAAATGAAATGGACTACTTTGCCGCCTGCTATAAGGAGTTAGTACGGCAAATCTTCAGGACAATTAAGTGGTCTAAAATGAGTCAAGAAGTCGCAGTCATTCAAATGATACTTCATGCAGTTCCTTGACGTCGCCATAAAACGCCTAGAAGATGGTAGCCTCCAGAGGTCAATCTACCGAAAGCCCACATGGAATGGACAATACTTACACTTTAATAGTTTTTGTCCAAATAGCTATAAACGAGCACTAGTCAAGACTCTGTACTATAGAGCGAGGAGAATATGCTCTGCAGAGAAACTAGAGGAGGAATTCACGAATCTCGAAAAGGTGCTGAAAAACAACGGCTATACTCAAAAATTCATTAACAAATATGGAAGATGTGAAGGCCCAAATACCAAACAAATCACAGTCGAAAAAAAGCCTGTCTTCATTCAACTAGACTTTAAAGGTGAAGACATTGCAGAAATGGTCAACAGAAGACTGAGGACGTCACTAGCCAGAGCCTATCCTGCAGCTAAGTTGGTTCCCGTCCACCGAACAACATGCTCTTTGGTGCAGTCAAAAGTCGATAGATACCCTTCTCATGTTAACTCCAACTGTGTATACAAATTTACGTGTATCTGCGGGAGCAGTTACATTGGGAGAACAGAAAGAAGGGCACACCTCCGATTTTCTGAACATGTGCCGAAAAGCCTACGTCTCAAGGGAACAAATTCTTATAGCAGCGCTATTACCAGACATCTCCTCGACACGGGTCATGAGGTGGAAATCGAGAAATCCTTCAAAATTATTAATAGACAAAGGAGCTCCATTCTCCTCAAGTTTGCCGAAGCAATTTCTATCAAACGCTTGAAACCAGATCTATGTGTTCAGAAAGAATCAGTTATTAGTCTTTCCTTGCCTTGGTAACTGGATGTCTTTTTTCTCCCATCTGATTGCGTAATCTTTGTCTTTATTTAACCTCACCCTCCTTTATAATTTTGCTTGTCTCTTGTTTCTATGATTTGAGTTCAACTCAGTACATTGTTACCTAACTTATTAGTCACTTTGCATCTCTCATCTGATTGTGTAATTTTGTCTTTAACCTCACCCTCCTTTTATAATCTGTAATTTTGTTTGTCTCTTGTTTCTATGATTTGAGTTCAACTCAGTACATTGTTACCTAACTTATTAGTCACTATGCATCCAACGCACATCCCTTACCATTATATACATACATTTATTTATTATTTTTAACTTGAACTGCCTGTGTAAAAACTATATAAGCGCAATTTTCTGAGCACTGTTTACTAGTTGTGAAACTTTCTGTCAACATGTAAAATTTGCAAGTAAATTAAAAGGTTTCTGTACTTAAACCTGAAAATTTATTTAGGCTGTAAGCAGCTGACGAGAAGCCAACGAAATAAATGATGGTACCATGTTATTCTGCACAAATCAATGTTGTTCTCGCTTTATTCAAATGATACTTGACAAAATTTCTTTAGCATAATCAGTCCACTACTCGTGTCCGTGGTTGAGTACTGATACAGCTAGTATCTATTTTTTGTGGACTTATCAACCACCTAGTGACGAGATTGTCCCACTTACAAACAACATTCCTATTCATGCTATCACTAACAGTTCCACCTTGTCTTTTTATTCAATCATCCGTCTGTGTCTGATTTCTCAGTCGTTTAGCTTCTAATTGTTTCTCCCTCTTTTCATCAATTTTCTAAATTTGGTATCAATCGGCTCACTCGTTCCAATCTTTGTTTTTACTTCTTACTGCTTCCTGATTGAAGAAAATAGAAACATCTCCTCACCCGAGCATCACATTTATCACTACGGATGGGACAATAGGTTAGCTGTACGCTGGAAACTCCTGAAAACAGATGTCACAGTGATTTTAAGGTTCTGCATTGAAAACCTTATTGTGTCAAGTAACAGTTGATTTGGTGACAGGATTTAACGAAAAACCGAGAATTTTCATAGAGAAAATTATTCGCCTCCCATTCTTATCCTTGAATTCAAATATTAACATTGAGTGTGACCATTTGTAACTGTTTCGATGAGAATTTTCTTGAGAATTGGTAGTCACAAAAACCCTCAGTCACTGGAATACATAAAAGTTCATTAATATATCTGATGTTTTTGGCTAAGAGTGTTGCTACGCAAGCGAACGAGCAGACAGATGAGCTTCAGCAGTCGATGCACGAGGGTGTTACACTGTCTTTTCTCTCCTTAATTGACGGTACCTCCCATAACTCTTAATACTGACGACAAATCAACACTAAGCTTACCATAATCACTCAAATTTTTTGATTGGCGACAGAAGGTTTTTCTAGGAAATACCTGTGACTGCTTGATCTCTTCTTGAACGCGTCAACTGAGGAAATAGATACCACCTATTCTAGCACTTGGTTTCTAGATTTTATGAATCGATGGAAGAAATGGTTCCCACAGCAATATAGTTCCCCCTCGTTTTCCGAAGCTTCCTCCTGTTTCTCTTGAAATGTACATATGCGTGGGGACGAAAAGACAAAAAATACGTCAGGTTTCCAGATATAGTGACACTGTAATGCTACCTCCTGTCTACCTATAGTATGATAGGGGGAAGAGATTCAAAGGATTATGTTTTTCTAGGATTATAAAATAGTCAAAACAAAATTCGTACGCCTGGAAGTCTTTTGGTGTTCCTTTATTATGTGTGAGACTGTCTTGAGACAAAGACTGGCTTTCTGGATGAAGTTTTCTAGTTTCGAGTTTACCAGAAATTCATATGAATTATTCGAGACGTGGCAGGTGATTCTAGTTAAGGTGGTGCGTATTCCCCATAAGGATCTAAAACTTCTAACTACCACCACACAACAATCAGCCGAAGTTTTATAGTCATGGCTTGACATAAGACACGTTAACCCATGTGTGTGTGTGTGTCAACTGTTGGCAGTTGTATTCCATCCATACAAAAACGATATACTACTGACTGGTTGATATAAGTAGTTGTACATCGCTCACATCAACCACTACTGTTTGTTAAACTATGGTAACCATATTCAATCAAAAAGTACAAGTACTTAAATGAAATACTCATGTGATTGTGTGGTGATTCTGTTATTAAATATCAGATGATATCAAAGTCCATTTCAGTGTTAGCATAAAATCTACTGAGATTGAGGTAACAAAGATACTGCCAAGACCAGAGGAATCATGATTTTTAATTCTGCATTGTTCTTGATAGCACTTCTGCTGAATACCTCAATTTATGCAATAGCGTTAGTCCCAAAGCCGTCAAGTTACGTAAAATCTTCGACAGTTTGCCGTTAAAACGTCCACTTGAAATTCAACACAGCTATCCCTCATGCAATATATTGTCAGAAGCTGTGACGAGATTTCAAAAGCGTCTGGAATTGAAACATCCGCCAATTTCCGAAAAAGTTGAAGTTGCATGCAATATAACCACTCTGAATATCAAAATCGGATGTGAATGTGACGAAGGGCAAGGTCAGCTATGGCCCAATGCATCAATTGATGAATCATGTGAGTTGTACCAAAACGACTAATTCAATCACCATTTTGCAGATAATGTGGAGATAGAAGAATCCCAAATTAGCATAGAATCCATTGAGGTTTGGGGTGCTTTACACGCCCTCGAGACTATACTTCAATTGGTGTACAAGGGAGAAGATGGAGCGGTGAGTTTCGTTTTTACCTATGGCTTGATTTTCTCAATTTATTTCATTCATCACATAGAATGTTATATTTAAAGGATCTTTGATGGACGAACCACAATTCGGACACCGTGGAATGTTGATAGATACTGCAAGGTACTTCTTGCCACTTGATGTCCTGGAGAAATTAATAGTAGGAATTGCAATATTCAGTATGATGCTTTCTCTTACCAGGATAGCATGGCCATGGTGAAGATGAATGTGTTTCATTGGCATATTACAGATGATCAATCATTTCCCTTTGTCTCAACTACTTGTCCGAAACTGTCAAAGAAGGTGAGTAAGATGAGAATCAGGTCATTTATTGATCGGAATGTTTGTTTAAACTACAACAGGGTGCATATCATCAGCTGAAGTGCACGTATAATGAAGATGATGTGGAAAAACTGTTGGACTACGCCCGTCAACGTGGAATTCGTGTCATTCCAGAGTTTGATACTCCAGGTAGATAATTTTAAATATATATTTAATATGATGTAATTGTCCATCATGTGAGTTGAAATGAAATAATACCATGCAGAGATTTGAATGAGTACAAACATGCTCTTGGAACGATGATGAAAGTAAACTGTCTATCAACCAAGTCAAAGTAGTCATCATAAATATAGGGTAGTTTACGCATGATTTCGTGTTTGAAGGTATGTTGAAGCAAGGAGATTATCAAAGGCTTTCAACTTTGCTGAGTTACCTATCAGGTTTAATTTTGCTGGAAGATGTTAACCCAAGGCGGTTTTCAAAAATCCACAATAAAAGATAAAATCCACAATAATAAGATATCCAAGGCTTGTGATTCTGTTTAGTCGTCTAATATAATCCAGATAATATGGAGAAGTATCGTACTAGTGAACAACGTGAATATCATTGGTTCAGTGTTTGCATTCAACGTCTTAAACTTGATACTTGAATGGATCAACGTAGTTAACGCGAAATACATGTGTTATATGAGTTGAACAGTGTATAATTTCAGACAGTAGAATAGGAATCAATCGCAGATGGTGAATCCATTCATCATCGTATCTTGTATTGCAACGACGTTATTTGTCGAAATATTGTAAGGATGATTTCCATTGACTGTCACAATCATCTTTTGTAGCGCATACATTGTCATGAGGGAAAGGATATCCAGAGTTACTAACAAAATGTTATAACGGCAATAATGAAAATGGAAAGTTGCGTCCATTGAATCCATCCAATTCATCGTTGTATGAGTTTTTGGAGAAATTCTTTGAAGAAATAGTCCGCAGATTTCATGACAATTACATTCACTTTGGCGGGAATGAGGTTGACTATGAGTGCTGGTGAGTTCTGTTGATTTTATGCAAGAGTAAATGAAGAATCAATGTTATGACATCGCCATGTTTTCATTACCAACTGAAGACATACTTTTCTCTGTCTCAGATTAACAGACGCTGAACTAGTCTCATTTAAACAACTTTCTCATCAACTCAACTGAATTTCATTAAATATTCCTTAGCAGTAACAGGGGAAACAGCTGTAGATTTAAGCAATAGGAAATGTCATGGATGCCAGTTTCAATGCGACCCCGCCTCATTTAAGTTCCCAATTTGTAGATTGACTAGTAATGGGGAGAAAACACCACCTATAGTGGTGTCACAACGTCATTTTGAAGTTTGTGCTGAAGATGTCTGATAACTTGCATCAAAAATCGTGTGTGTACATTGAACAGTGTATAACAACCTTTGGCCGTCTCCAACCCTGAGTGACTGATTTACCAAAATATCATTTTGTATTAAAGTGTCCATTATCTGATATTACCAGCGCGTTGCAAAACATTTATTGCAACCGAACATGGTAGCCACAAAGCGCCTGTGAAATTTAATCTCACATTATTCCTCTTTTGATTGGTTAATATAAACGAATGAAGACAACTGTCCATAAGGCACGACTATTTCTTCTTCTTCTTCAGTGGAACACTGAATATTACAGCACCCATCTATCTCATTCTCTTCCTTCCATTGAGTGGAATGGAAAATCCTCATCAACAATCTCTGATCAAGTTGTATTTTAACAATTAATTCATGTAGATTAACGGAAGACTTGATGTTGCTGCTCCTTATTTGTGGGCAGTTTAAATTGAATCATCGACAAGAACAATGAACAAGTAAAATTCAAGTCCTCCTGTTCATTTAAGGAAGTCGAATAAAGATATAGTTAGATTCACGGACGACAAGGGATTCGGTGAGGATTATTACCAACTACATAAATATCATCTGGTGAAACTTATTGAGATTGTTAAGAACATGACGACGACAGACCCTGACTTACCGATCACTCCTATTGTCTACCAGGAGAGTTATGCTGACGAATGTGGAGTAAGTTTTGGAAAATATGTTTGTATTTAAATAAATATACTCGATATTCAGGGACGATTATCTCTATCCCACTGACGCAACATTATCAGTCCTTTTTATTTGATCGTAAGGAGGATTGTTGTGATTCAGTCATATATTTATTTTCAAGTTATTTTATTTCATGTCTAAAACATTTGATCCATGTTGGCTGATTTGGTGTCTAGAGATAAAATAATCCATCTATGTCATCACCATCAGGCAAACAGATCTAGGTCGCATAATGCTGCGTTTGGGGGTTACTCCATGTATGGTGATAGGAGAATATTTTCTCCTATTACTTGTCCAGTGGAGTCTGTCTTGCTGAATCTGGCTAAGCTCTCTCACTCTCACAACTCAGTCGACCTCAATACAACAGAATAATCCCTTTGCTTGATCGTGAAGTCATCTGGTTGTATTTGATCAATTGAGTTATTTCATGTGATTATTCAGTTTGGACAGGGCACAGGAGTTCACTTCGTTAATGAAAATTTTTGTTCTCCATATCTCTGTGATGAGTGTCTGCTAACACGTGGGATCCCAGACAGACACCCTGGCTTGTGGCTTTGCCCCCATTTCCAGTGGTTAACCTGTCGTTCAGTAGAGTGATCATACAACTAGTGATGAGTCTCGAAAGAAAGAAACTTCTATCACATTTTCACTGTTACAACATGAACAGATCAAATCAATATTTTTTAATTCCAGTTATGATCGCTACTCATCTTGAAAATTTACTAGATAATTAAAGAACACAGGTGATTTAATTTCATTCTTCGGTTGAATAAATCTAACGTGTTCCATATTTTGTCCATGTCAAATATCTGACAAACCTCTGAAAAGAGGCATCAGAAAATTCGATATCTCAGGTAAAATGACTTTACACAGTCAACCTGTAGAAGAAATATTTCATCGGTTCGATAATGTGTCATCCCCCATTTCCAGAATAACAATCAACCGATAATACCTTTCAAATTAATCCAAATAGTTATATCAGTTTGACGTTCATACCACTAACTTTACAAATGTTTCATTCGGTTTAACAGATTGACCTCGAAACAATCATTCATGTCTGGAAAACTGTAGATTGGGAGAAACACGTCTACAATGCCACTCTAGATGGATATAAGGTTATAGTTTCTGGGACATGGAATCTTAATGACATACAATCTGATCTTGATTGGATGAGATATTACTCACAGAATATCAGAGATTTTGGAGGTGAGTTAATTCTCGCGTGGTCTGAAAGAAATTTATGTGTTGACGATATTTATCTAGGTGTGTTCCAAGTTTCACTTTGCCTGTGATATGCAACAGTTTTGAAATGAACACGGATTCACAATGATTGCAGCGACTGCGCTGTTTCTTGAGTGACAATTGTGAGTCGTTTGACTTTGTACAGTATGTTGCCATATTAACAACAAAATATATATACATATATAATGGAAGTCAATGGGACATTCACAATGAACTCAGAAGTCTGTCATTAATGGATTTAGGAAGCAATCGTGATTTGTAGATATAGATGGTGATTTAGGTTTCCTAGTTAGGAATTTATCCTTGACCTGCTATGTGAGTACCTCTCTAGTTCGAAACGAAGTACTAGTTGGGCTGCAGGAAATGTGCGTTATATTTTGGGTGTTAAACAGCAGTTAAGAGAAATTTGCGATTTTTCAGACCAGTTGACATGTAAATCTATCATCACGTTCTTCAGCTAATTGTAAGGATATGAATTTCTGAAATCCAGTAGGCTTTCTTCACTGAGTTCATCGGTTCCGCGAGCAAATAACAATTTTCATTGCGTTTACAGGCTCACATTCGCAAAAACTAAAAGTCATTGGAGGTGAAGCTACCCTGTGGAGCACTCGTGTGGATAAGACGGATATAATGTCATTAGCTTGGTGAGTACTCTTCACTAATCCTTCTTAGTATTCTTACGAAAATCATTGTTTGACAGATATTTCAATCGTGAATCAAAATGTTGTTTAAGACAGAAAATTACAAAATGTTTCGTTGATGACATTCAGTCAGAATCTGAACATCGAATCCCTTTAACATAATTGAGAGTTTAGATGACACGATGGAAATAGAATGATGACTTCATCTGAAATGAGTGTTGGCATACACCCAATGAATATCATAAAAAAGTGAATAGTAGTAATTCGTTAGGCTATTTTAACTATACACCCAACGTCAACAGACAATATACGTAAATGTGATCCGTTAACAATGTAGTTCAACTTCGACTTGACTCTGCTTTCTTTGAATTGCCATATGGAATCATAATGACCAAATATCTAGACTGTGTGATTTTGTGTCCCTCAAAGTTGACTCTCCCCATTTATAAAAGACACAGTTGTCAAGAAATCGAGTGACACGTTTGTCCATTTCATGAAACGTTGTGACATATGATTCACAGATGAGAATTTTCTAGCCAATTAATTTGGTAAAATTACATTCAGTGCATTGCCGACCTACTTTGAATAAGTTAAGACAAAAAGGTAGTGCGCTGTGTTTCAATCCAACTCGTTAGCCTCAATTTTCTGTGTTTCTTCTCGTCACTGTGATATATGTGTAGGCCTAGAGGTGCTGCTACAGCTGAACAACTTTGGACGAATGTTATAACTGCACTGAATTAAGGTAAACCCCGTCGCCAATTTGTTATATCTTGCTCTGTCTGCGCCTGAACTTATCTGTCTATCTGCTCGTCGTACCTTCCGACTTGGTAAAGCACGCAAATATCAAAAGACAAAGGCTGGACTGTGACTGTGTATTGAAGTGCAACAACGATAAAGAAAGCCATGGTATTTATACATTTTACAACAATATGGACAGCTAACAGCATTTGAAATAATTGACCTTAATAGCCAATAACAAAGTGTATGAGAAATCATAATATGCCATATGTGCGACATTGACAGTCAGTAACAAAATGTGTGGGAATGATATACCATATATACAAAATTAGCAGTCACTACCAAAATGCGTGAGAATGATAATATACAAAATTAGCAGTCAATACCAAAATGCGTGAGAATGATAACATACCATTATGCAAGTTTAAACAGTCAATACCAAAATATGTGGGATCCTATCACCTCCCCCCGTAAAGAGTGTAGGACTTGCTTTTTGGATCTATTTGAAAAGGTTTCGGAGCTCTTCTTTGTCGAGTTGACCTTTGCGTGGTACTGGATAGAGCGTGATCTGTGTGTCTGCCACATAACTGTCCTTTTTCATTCGTACGATAATGCAGCAAGAATTTATCCAAAATTTTTCTGTTGTTCCCTCCCCCTTCGCTTTTGCATAAGCACGCTTAAAGGTGTCGACGAAACGTTCAGTCTGTCCATTCGATTGGGGATGATACGGGGGGCTACGAATATGCTGGATGCCAAACAGTTTGCAGCAACCAAGTTTGTCCTGAAAGACAGAAGCGTGCTTTTGACGACGGCGTTGCAAGAGAGATTGATCAGATACATCTCCGGGAACAACGTTGTGTGGTGAAGACGAAACATTAGAGCATACTGAATTTAATGGTACATTAAAGATATGGAGCTTGTCTAACCAGTCAAGACCAAGCAAATTCAAATCATGGTAGTTTGTAACGTAACATACACCATTGAAGTGATGCTCACCAAACTGAACCTGGCAATTGATCTCACCCACAAGTTTCAGTATATCTCCAGAGACATTCTTGGCGACATGCTCGGTCGGCAGAATCTGTGGGCAACCAAGTTTGCGCCACGTAGTTCGGGAAATTACGGTGATATCTGATGCCGTATCCAACTGAAGACGAATACGTTTGCCATTAATATCTAGTGTTATGTACTTACGTTTGCTGGCGACATCGACTTTGGAAGTTGTATAAATAGTCGGTACTCGAGGAGATTGTTTCGGCTCGAAACGACTACTTCTGTTCCTCACCGAAGGATATTTCTGCGGTGGACAGTAACCCTCCTTATGTCCAAAACGGTGACAATTACGGCATTTATGCTTCTTGAAAGGACAGAACTTGACAAAATGCCACGAACCACAGTGCCAGCACACTGAAGGAGGTTTAGCTGAATTTTGAGACTGACGTTCTGTGTGCTTAACAGTGATCGGAGGACTTTTCACTGTGTTAATCGAACCAAATTCAGACGACTGTCGTTTGCACTCCACCATAGCAGTATCGTGCTTCAAGTTGATTAAACGTAGGCATTCTGCTGTCACCATTTGTAAGGTCATTTTCGGGTCTTGTTCCACAAGTGACAGAAGTCGAGTTCGTATGTCAGTATCTTCTGGGTTCTTCAACCCACAAATAAAAATCAAACACTTGAACTGATCGGATGTCATTTCGTGTGGCTTGAACCTTTCACATTCCTTGTTCACTTTGCCAGCGTAAGTCACATAATCATCGGAAGGCATTTTTGTCAACTGAAAACATTGATACCGAATATTAAACATGGATGACTGTTCACCAAAGATTTGTGATAAAACGGTGACTGTCTCATCGAATGATAACTCACGTGGGTTCTTAGGCAGAATGAAGTTAACATATCTGTTGTGCTCAACAGTACCAAGTTTTCTTAGTAACAATCGGACTTTGGCAGCATCATCAAACATGTAGCATTCAATACGGAAAACGTCTTCGTAACGATTGAACCATGCATCAAATACGAGACCAGATATTGGATCGTAGTTGAACTCACTGATAGAATTTGAGATGCTTTCATATTTGTCAGAATGAGATGTTGATGGAACTTGAATGGACAGCTTCTGAGTGAGAGCTTCGATTAATTTTAGTTGAGCTGCTTCATTCTGAACTTGCTGCTGCTGCAAGATAGATTTGAGATCGTCCAGAGAGATAGACATTGTAATTGGGTTGTAATTAACACAGTCAAAAGTGTTATATAGTTGCGCTGAACAGAATAAAAACTGTCGTCGTTTGCTTGCTATAACTGCAATGAATTAAGGTAAACCCCGTCGCCAATTGTTATAGCTGCAATGAATTAAGGTAAAACCCCGTCGCCAATTTGTTATAACTGTAGCGAATTAAATGAAGACGTTTTCACCTTGCTCTGTCTGCGCCTGAACTTATCTGCCTATCTGCTCGTCGTACCTTCCGACTTGGTAAAGCACGCAAATATCAAAAGACAAAGGCTGGACTGTGACTGTGTATTGAAGTGCAACAACGATAAAGAAAACCATGGTATTTATACATTTTACAACAATATGGACAGCTAACAGCATTTGAAATAATTGACCTTAATAGCCAATAACAAAGTGTGTGAGAAATCATAATATGCCATATGTGCGACATTGACAGTCAGTAACAAAATGTGTGGGAATGATATACCATATATACAAAATTAGCAGTCACTACCAAAATGCGTGAGAATGATAATATGCAAAATTAGCAGTCAATACCAAAATGCGTGAGAATGATAACATACCATCTATGCAAGTTTAAACAGTCAATACCAAAATATGTGGGATCCTATCAACGAAATACCCTGACAATATGACCGAATTCGGAAAGAGATTGGATGAACTTCGATG